CATGGAATTGCTGTTTCATTTTCTGTAACTCACAAAAAATATACAAGTGATTTACTAAATTTCTGTAGTAGAATGAATAGTCCATTATTACTCACTGAGCAGTCCCTTTCAAAGTTTTTTTTTGGGTCAATGGGGTTTATGACACATGGGGAAACCCATCACCATGCTTAAAAGTATCCAAACTAAAATGAAAGTTCTGTGCATCCCATCTATACTTGGAAATTCCAGAGATATTTATTGGAATGGAATGTGCACTCTTTCCCTGAAGAGACGTGGACAGTATTAAGTAAGTAGAATGTGTCCCTCCAAGGAGAGAGTGTGCACTCCACTCAATTTTTATATTGGATCTTGGAATGAATTTTTTTATAATGTTGTACGCTGCTTCGATCAATTAGAGTGTTGCTGGAGCCGGTGGTGTTCAAGTGGCCTTTGGTTGAAAACTGCGCAACCACAATGATGTAATTATTAAAATAGAGCTGGTGATTCATAAAGGAATTATTTGTCCATTCTAAAAAGTCAGGGGAATTCGGAGCCTAATTTATTATTGCAGTCCTAACATTATTTATTATTATTATAATTCTAAATTTTATAAGTTACTTTTTTTAAATTGTTGGTTGAAAATGCAACATTTCGTAACTGATTTTGTTGGTCTGTAGTGATATATATTGAATATATTATCAAATGTCACCTGTTTAATCCTACCTGGGTTAAACAGAGTTCCAGGATGCTACCCCGCGTGAAAGGCGCTATATGAATTCAAGTTGTCATTGCCCACAGTTTAGCTTCTTTAAGCTACTCTGAGAAAACTTCTTTGATATCAGGAATAGTAATATTACAAGGTGCAATGTGAGATATCAAAATGTTACTCCATGTCAAGGTCCAGGCTGGCCTGAAATAAATTGAAAAGATGTTGTGATTAATACAGTTGCTAGATAATATTTCAACATAAGTGAGCACAACCAGATAAGGTATGAGTGGCAAAGGAATAATCTAATTTGCCTCTCATGTTTGTGGTCTGCATTGTCAGAAAATCTGATACTGGCCAGAATCTCTACATTCCCTTTGTAGAGAGCAATTCAAAGTTTAAATAATTAAACTGCAGTCATGCAGTCGCTAGCTGGTACAGCAAACATGCTTAATTTTATTAAAATATGAATTTAATGTACCTGTTGTTTCTGCTCATTGATGTACGCCTCTTTGGTCGTAGTCTAGCCTTCTCTTGCTGGGTGAAGCTCCAGAGCCGCTGGTTGCTCTCTGGTACACTGTTCAAGTGGCCATTGTTTACATAGGAACCTTGGCAGAGTGTTGCCGATCTCTTAGACTCTAGAGGACATCACAGCTGAGCCTTCTTCCCACTCGGCCACCCTACAAATACACACCCAATAGAGGCCACTGGAGCAGACTGCTCACGTTTCCCCTTCACCCATCCCGCTCCTCAACTCTGGATAGTCCAGGGCCAATTTGACCTTCCTATGTAGCCACAGTTGAGACCAGCATACTCAGCGCAGACAGGATTTGAACCTTGCCTGTTGGCTGCAGCTTTACCCATGAAACAGTCAGACATTTTTCTTGGCTACTACCTGTGGTGTGTTTGTTCATTTACTTCTAATTTTGAAGCACACAGTTAACCCTGGGTGGGGGTGGGGCAGGACCACAGCTGTGAACACAGTGAATGACTGAGTACCTAACATACTTGGCACAGACCCAAATAGCCCCTAACTAGTCTTATCTCTAATGCCAGTCATCACCACCACACTGCAGGACTATTCAAGTGATAGCTCTGGGATGCTTTTTTCTTGAACTCAGTCCCAGAACCCACAAATACATTGTTTGGTAAAAGAATAAAATACAGCTGCATGATGCAGATTTTTGCATTGCAATTCAATCCAAGGAAGCATTTCTCTGCACTGTCTTTGGGAATAAAAAAAAGTAACATTTCATAATCAATTCAGACCAAATTGTTTACACAAGTGAAAGTGGGGGAGTTCAGATTTCTAACTAGACTTCTGAAATTGATGGTTCATGATTCATTTAGTATGTTGTATTTGTCACCCCAATGTTCTATGGCTGAGGTTTACAAGGAAAGTGAGGGAGTTTACAAGGAAAATTTGTGCTTGTATTGATTTTCCACTCGTCTCTTTTTATACATGAAGCCAGTTTTGATGTTCTTGGTGTACTATGAAATAGAAGGATTACACTGTCTGTCTGAAATACTAGTTTGTATGCACATAATCCCAAAACAATAAGAGCTAAATTGTCCAGCGATCAGTATACAGTCAGTTTGCAAAATCTGGACAGTTATACACATGTCACAGGAGAGATAGCAAGGATACTTTCTTTAAATCACAATGAAAATTGTATGACTGCTAGTCTGAGGAATGGTGTAGTCCGTGGATCTGGTAGTTGTAAAGACTCCCAACAACGTCTAAGCACAGCATCTAATCTGTGCACTATATGATGTAACTTTCTTTATATGGCACATACCAGCATTCCATGTAAAGATAGCAATGTTGTCTGAATACTGACGTGTGATAAGACTTGGCGAGGTGACTTTCAGACCAATAAGTGTTTTGGAGACTGTGTTGTAGAGATGCCTTTAAATGACTTTCCATCAGCTCTGGCATCTGCCCTTCAGTCCTAGCTCCAGACCCACATGGGCCGAACAGGGAGATCTATGGATTGTCCAGAACGCTTATGGAAATAATGTAGATAAATAGCAATTCATTAGGTAGAGAGGTCCACCAGAGGAAGGATTGATTGGGCCTGACTCATTCACTAAACACCACTGTAAAAAAGGATTTAAAGAATACCATTTTCATGAAGAATTATTTTCCGACTAATTTATAGAATCCGGGAAAGTTTACACACTGCAGAGGAGGCCGTTCGTCCCATCATGTCTCTGCTGGTTCTCACTCCCTCACTGGAGCTATCTGTCATTCCTTTTTCCCTTCTCTTTCGCTGTCCCCTTCAGTAATATTGTTTAAGTCTTTATCCAATTCCCATTTAATGCTGCTTCTACTCAGCTAGAACAGACATTTGTGGTAAGATATTCCAAAATCTAATCACAAATGTAACAAAAATTCTTTCTCTATTTACCCTATGAAAATCATTCATGATTTAGAAAATCTCTGTTAGATCTCTCGTTAACCTTCTCTATTCCAACGTTTAAAGTCTCCCTATTCCCTCTCATGCATGATGTTTGTGCTGGTGAATCTCCACTTCACCTGCTCCAATATAGTAATGCCATTTATATAACACTAGCTGTACCCGTTGCAGCTACCCTTGCAACAAAAGTATTATTATCTTCTTCCTCTATCTTATACTAATAAAGATGAAATGTCTGTTGTGTGTGTCTGCCAAGAATGCAATAACTGCCGAGAGTCTCCCCCTCCCCCCGCCCCCCCCCCACCCCGCCGAGAGTCTCCCCCGTCCCCACCCCCCGGCCGAGAGTCTCCCCCCAACCCCCCGGCCGAGAGTCTCTCCCCCACCCCCGCTGAGAGTCTCCCCCCACCCCCTACCCCCCAGCCGAGAGTCTCCCCCCCACCCCCACCACCAAGAGTCCTCCCGCAGGAGTCCTCCCAACAGTAGTCCGCCTGACTGAGTCCTCCCAACAGGATTCCTCTAAAAAGGATATGTGTGCAAATATGTGAGCAAGAGATGATAGCGAGTTGAATAGCATATTTTCATCATCTTTCTGGATAAAGATGTCTAAGAAATGGCAGACCAAAGAGAGAAGGCCGATTAAATGAAACTGGTTGCAAACGTAGCTCCAACAGATATAGCTAGTACTTTATATTATTATACTTTATATTATATTGTACTTTGTATAAGACATTATAAATCATGTCTCTACATTGATCAATTATTACATTATTGGCAGACAGACAGATGTGTCTCTCTAAAAGGGTGTGTGATTTCCTCCTTTGTTGCAGAATACCTCATATTTTGGGCTTAATTAAAACATTTAAATATAACTCATCAACAATAGGAGATCCCCAGAAAGAAATATGCCCATGGCACTCCCCATGCAAGACCTTTCCGATGAGGTATAAATCATGTCTCTACGTCCATTGGTTATTGCGTTATTGGAAGACAGACAAACATACAAACATTTTGTCTTTATTCGTATAGAAGGTCCCCAAAAACTACACAGTAGACAGGCTATGATCTGACTAACTTTTAACATCTCCCTCCCTGCCTTGCATGTAATCATATCACAACACATGTAGCAGGATTATGATGAAAATGACAAACAACAACAACTTGAATTTGCATAGTGCTCTTCACGCGGGTAGCATCCCGAGCGCTTCAGAGTGGCGGAGTCTGACATACCCCTCTTCTCTTTCTGCGGACTAAAATGTTTTTAATAAACAGATCAGACCTACTTGATGAAGACTGACATTTAAGGGGGTAGCAGCTCAGATTTCTTTTATCATTTTTAAATATTTCGTTAGCATCCAAAGGCAGAAAACTCAGAAAATGTACTGGTTTGGAATCCAAAGAAAAACATTTTTTGTGTGTGTTCTTTTAAGTATTTAAATGGGTGCGTTATTAAAGACTTTAGCTATCATGCTTCAAAATTTGGTAGATCTGCTTGAAAATAATTGTTTTTATATGTGTGTGGGTATGTATATATAAGTTTTACATATATTGGCAATATGAAAAGTTTTAAAACCAAATATAATCTCTGTTTGTGAACCCATGTTGTATCTGGTGAAAGTAGAGGTTTCTGAAGTTCTTTTTGTTTCTCTTGGTCGATTGCCCTTATTTTACGGTCTCCCTGGTATTTATACAGCTCCCAATGCATGACCTCTGCGAGAGCATCAGTCATGTTTCACCTCAGCGTGACCCATCCAACAAGTGCTTAGTACTCTCGAAAGGAAAGGGGATGTGCACAGTTTTGCGAATTCGGCTTTAACAAACAATGGCAGTTTGAACCGATTAGGCTTTTCCACACAATCATTGAAGTGCTCTATAATGTAATACACTTGCAGTAGGAGTGGGCAAACATAACCTTGCATGGAAGGGTTGTGGGTACACGGCTCTTATAGTATTTTTAGCCCCTTGCATTGCTGATAATCTCTTCATGCCATTGCATGACCCTGACACTTGCAGCTGTAAAAGCCTTAGTTTGTGTACCTCAGTGAAGGTGGAGCAGATGCTCTCCATGTCAGAGACAGTGAATTGAGAATGGAGATTTGCTAAATTTATTGCACAGCACCATTCATAGAACATGTGCTGTCTCATTCCATTCTCTGGATAAAGAAGAATTTCTTTGAACTTTTACTTGTTGGCACGTAAGTACAGAACAGACTTTTAACCATGTACAAAAAGGCTAGCACTGCGGTATGGCATTCACAGATCTCTAGTTTTGAAGAATATTGATTATTAATGGATATTAAGTCATCACCTACGCAGTAGTATTTTTCCCACTGCAGTCTGACCCACACACCCAGGACACATGATTCTTGTAAGTCTTTAAAGAGGATTAAAGGTGTTAATCTTCCAATGAACTGAGTAAGACCTGGCTGCAGAAAGCACTCCATAACACTGAGCCTATAATTCAAATGGCTGTCTGTGTGCTGGGAAAGTTTCATTTTTGACTGGTAAGTTATTTATTAATCAGTGGTTGAGAGAAATTATTGTGGGATAATGCCTATAATTTTAAATGGGTTTGACAAAATGTTGCTGTCTGGGTGATATGTTCTACATTTTCAGAAATGTTAAATGAGAAAGCTTTGGGACGTCCTCCCGACATGAAAGGCGCTATATAAATGTAATTATTTTGTTGTTGTAAATGATAAAGTATATTTATATTTTTATCCCCTCCAACAGCCCTGCCATATTTACAAACTACAATGCTCTATTTAATTGGGTCATCTGCACAGATCATTTTATCTTGTGACATGCTGGTCACTTCGTAGGGTCAGATATAGTGTGCAGAATTGATTGTCTCTATTGAGTTGACGTTTATGCTAGAATATTCACCTGTGCATTAGAAGTGGGGAATATCCAGTCAACAAAATGCAAATTTGTTTTCATACATATTTCTGTAGAAAGAATTTCATCAGGATAAATTGTCTAATGCAAAAAAGAAAATCTTGATGAATGCACGTGATGCTTGATGCAAGGAACTCAAAGCTGTTCAATGCTCAGATTGACCAACTATTGTTTTGAGATTTTATGGTTATTATAATGGCAACAAACATATGGTAAATAATATAATCTTGCATTTTATATAATACCTTATGTCGAAATGTCTCAAAGGATTTCACAGGATTGAGCGTGAAGTGTGCTAAAGACTGTTCATTTGTAGGTGAGGAGAGCGCTGTTTCACAAACTTCCATGAAGTTTATGACCAATTTTATTTGGGAGATTGTTGGCAAGGAGACTGGGAGAAACTCCGTTCTCTTTTTGAATAGTGCCATGGGATCTTTAATATATTCCTGAAAAGGCAGTCGAGATTTGACGACTCCTCTGAGCATGCAGCCCCACCAGCTGCGTTGAAATGCCAGCTCAGACTGTGGGGTTTAAGTCTTGATGTCGGGCTTGAACTCATAACTTGATTTATAGACAAGAGTAAGCCAAACTGTCGAGAATAGGCAAATTGAAGTAGCATGAAATCTCATGTCCTCATTCACCCTCACTGCACATACCCTACCTTGCCTCCACCTGCCCAGATGCATGAAGAAGAGGGAAAGTTTACCTGCGTGTGAGTGTGTGAGAGGGAGAAGGAAGGTGGCGTGTCTAAGATGTAAGAAGGTTGACTGGAATCCATTTATCCACTGCTGGTTAAGTTGTTAATACCAAAGCATTGAGGCTCTGTTTTCGAAAAATTCACAGCAAAGCACAACAAGGATGCACTACTAATTTCAGAGAAACCCATATACTGTGATTCTGCATACAAAACTAAATCCAAAATAAAAAAATGTGCTAGTATAACAGCAATATAAGAGTGTGGCTTGTGAATTCAAATTAGGTTTGTAATATGCACTAGACATTTTTGGACTCATATCCATATGGCTATTTTCAAAGTCATTAATGTTGATTTTCGTTGGGTAAATACATAGTCAGATTGAGTAGCATTCTTTCTTTCTCTTGAAGTTTAGGATTAACAGGTCCAAAATGATGGTAAATGGGAGAAATATGGAATGCTCAAGAATAACAGTCAATGTATGAATTGCCGTAAAATGGGCAGCAGTGGAATAATCCAGTCTGTTTTGAAATGAAGGTTAATTTTAATTCTATAACACTCCATATACATTAACATATGCCATTATAGCTGGATCTCTTTTGGAGGCTGTCTCCGCCTTGTAAAAATTAATGGCTTGGCTCTTTAGAAGATACATAACTCCCACACATAAACCCATGATTCAGAGCTGTGGGGGAGTCTGCAAACCCACGCTCCAAACTGGGGTTGTGATGGTGCACAAACAAGCTGGTAAAAGGAAAGCAAGAGAATATTAAAAAGATTTATCATGACTATTCTGATGATATTGTGCTCAGTAAAATCTTGTTCCACTGTTTGGTATGTAAACTCTTTCTGTTCCTACCCAATGCTGGAAATCCGACATCCGCAGTGACATAAAAACAAAAATTGAAGTGTAAACAAAAGATATTTGTATCAGTGTGACATTTACAAACTTGTATATATCGTTGTCTGTGTTTAGGCGATTTACACATAATCTAAACAACCAAGGGCTGTGCAAAACCATCTTTATTCCTTAAAATGGACAACACCACCTTTGTGAGCATTGCTTTATGTGGATCTGTTCAATGTGTTACAAAGGGCAGGCTTCGTTACAAAGGGGTAAGAATAACGCAATAATGTCTCTATGGGGCATTTTACCTCCATAAGGACAATGGGTTTATTTGGCTGGGGGTGGGGGGGAGAGCAGGGACTGCATCTGGATCAGATGTGACTATAATGTAACTTGATTTGTTCTAGAATAATCAGATGGTGAGACCGCAACGCCACATGTGCTCTTTGTGAGTTCCATTGGTCAAGTGGTTGTTCTATTACAGTAACACCCAGAGGTTCAGAAATTGACCTCTGTGGTTTGAGAATCTCTTGCATTCAGTGTAAACCACCCTCCCCACTCACTACCACCATCAAATCACATTCACTCCACTCTTAAATTCTTGCATGGCTTATGGTGGTATCTGATGCATTGAAGTGAGGAAAGTTAATCATCTGGTAAGGACTGAATATTTCCATTATATATTAATGTTTGCCAGGAATGTCGCCCACGTTCACCCACAAACACACAGTCGTTGCACTTTATTGTTTCATGTGAAGCGCTTTGTGACATCCTTCCAATGTGAAAGGCTTATTATTAAATACTTATCATCAAATAAGTATTATAACATTTGGCAGGAATGTTGCAGTATCAATAATATTAATAATCCTTGCATTTGCTGTTGTGCTTTATGTCATTGAAATGACACAATGTGCTTCACAAGAATTACTGTGTAGTTGAAAGCAAATTGTGGGTGGAATTTGTGGTTGGACGAAAAACATTGTATCTCTTTTATGGTGTAATTTTCTTACACTTTCATAAATTCAAAGCACAGTTAGGTAATATAATAATCCTTGCATTTGATATAGTGCTTTTCACGTCTTCTCGACATCTCAAAGCGCTTCACAGAATAGACTGTAAAGTGAATTGACTGTATATTTGTGGGCGAAATGCGGCAGCCAATTGCGCACAGCAATGTCCCACAAACAGTCGTGGATTGAAAATGACCAATTTCTTATTGTTTTGTTCTTGGAGGGATTATTATTAGGCTTGTGGAGTAACTTGCCCAAGGTTTCGTCCTACCTGGAATTGAACCCAGGTGTCTCGATTGCAAAGCAAGTGCTCTAGGTATGACAAGTTAGGCAGATGTGGAAATAATTTACCAAAACATGTATCTTTTAAGGAACCCCAACACACTTGTGGTGTGGATTTAATAGTTAGGATGTTAGAAAGGGTAAGAAAATTGCACTGTAAACATGATTTGCAACCTAACACCAATTTGCCTACAAATATAGTTTCTACACTTTGAAGTGCTTTTGAGACATGTTAACTTGATAAAGCCCTATATCAAATACAAAGATTTATTTATCTTTCTCCATTTGTAAACAAGCCATCAATTCACTGTCAGACATTTGTGAATGTCTTAGTTTATCATGGAAATTACAAAATATGTTATGAATTGAATAGTTGTGACTTCTTGCAATCGGGAAAAGTGCAGTGAAATGCAGTAATTTATTTCATACTCCATTATAATGCGCTCATTGTTGGGTGTCCAAATGTCTTAACTTTTTTTTCCTTTTTGGTTGTTAAAAATCACACTGACTCATACTGAGTTCAATTAACTCCCTCCATTACCTCACCCAACTGGGATTCTTCAGATGGTGAGTATTGGCAGGCTGTTTGACTGCAGGGGGCAGAACCCAATCATGGTCTGACCATTCTTCACCCACATGCAACTTTGGGCATCACATAGGAGCAAGAATCCTGCCAGTTGTTTTTCCTTCCTTTTCCACATCCATCACCACCATCCTTCGTTGGCCAGGAATGTTGAGGTCCGTTATAACATATCTTTTGGTTAGCTACATGTCTGACACATGTGGAAATCCATCACCATGCTTGAGAGTATCCAAACCAGACTGAGAGTTCTTATACGTATGCCAACAAAATATGGAAATTTCTGGAATGGAATGCGCACTCTCTTCCCGGAGGACTCGCCTGATTTACATAATTCCGGTAAGCAGGGTGCATCCCTCCAGGGTGAGCATGTGTATTCCATTGTCCAGGAATGCTGAGGCCAATTATAACATCCCAGCGCTGCCTTGACTGAGATCAAGCAACTCAGCACGGGCCAGGGAACGCAATTCTGAGCTATTGTTTGTCCATGTATGTGTATTATAATAATAAAAAGAATCCTTGCGTTTGATATAAATGCTTTATCACTCGTGGAGATGTCTCAAAGCGCTTCACAGAATATATCTAATGGGAATTGACTGTATATTTGCGGGTGAAATGTGGGAGCCAATTGCACACAGCAGTGTCCCACAAACAGTCAAGGACCAAATGACCAAATTATTTTGTATTATTTTTATTTGAACCGTTTATTCCCCCCGGAAAGCAATCCATCAATCGACTAACAACAAGGTTTCTACTTACTGCTAGGTAAACAGTAAGGAAATGTGCCTAAAGTTTCACCCTGCCCAAGAATCAAACCCGGGAGCTCTTGCTTGCGAGGCGAGTGCTTTAACCATTACACTACAGGACTCCACACTTGCTATCGC